GAGAGATTTCGTGGGTAGGCTACGAGTAACCGATGTCAAGCCAGTTGATTCCCTGTGTTTCAAGAGCCTTGGGATTGGCGGTGTCACTTGAAGTTACGTGGAATTCATCCAATTTCACAAATACGTCATATGGGTTTAAAATAATCTGGTGTTCTGCTGTGGTGTAGACGGATAGAACCAACTAGGTTAAATGGTGCAGTTTACGATCAACCATGGCATACGGTCACGATCTCACTCACACTACGCAAGTACACGCCTACATTTCCGGACGAAAAATGAGGATGAACCAACGCGTTAGCACAAGATACCCTTAGTCGGAGCAATTTCCATAAGTTAATCACGAAAACTGCGTAACTGTGAACTGTGAAAAATAACAGAATGAATGTACTTTGTCATCTCACAAGATCCCTCGATAGGTCTTCTAAGCGGAATTAGTGCCCTTGGTGTCACTCAGATTCCCAGCTTTGCAATGTCATGCAGATTGTCTCCCAATAATATCGGCATTAAGCGAAAACATCAATAAATACAAAGGAATGAGTTCTGTCTGATTTCATGGTTTTGAACTCAGTAGTCATTCACGCAAGCAACTTCTCTTGTCTAACCGGGAATCCATGTGTGTCCCATTCCCGATTTGGTTCCAGCCACCATGTCTCATACGCAATCATTTGGATTGTAAAATTGATGAGCTTCACAAAACATATTCCATCTAAATTGTTTCACCTAACATTTCATGTTTTCAGAATGGCATGCCATGTTAACATTGTGTCACTATAATGGTCTAGCGTGGTACTTGAAGCTCTAATTAATCAGTTCAGGGCAAATATTCGGTTGTGCATTCTGGAATGGAAACTGTTTTAGCAATGCACAAGATGGGATGGACTAGGGTTAATCTCGTTTGATATGTTTTCACCTAAATATCCCTCAACATGTAACATTTGGATCATTCCAAATCAGCCAAGCCCCACTTCATAAAAAACACGCTTTCAGCTGAAGGACAATTGTTAATTCATAGCAGAATCCTAAGTTGGGAAGTCAAATTACAAGTTAGTTTTATGTGGAGGATTCCATTCTCTACGGTAATTGGGGCAGGTAAACTGTATGATCCATATGTGAAACGTCCGAAGCCTTTTGGCGCGTTCCTTCATTTCAGCTGGTAGAACGCACGCGGTAATAAAGCATGGGCGGCACCATGCGTGAGTACAAAACTCACCGGAGTCAACAAACTATACCATTCGGATAATGTGACATTCGTATATATCTCACAACTGCTCCCTCCGACAGGAAATAGAATTGTCTATCATATTTTTCTTAGGGGTCCTGAGTTTTAACGAATTTGCATTGACGAAGTTCCCGTCGAATTCACTCGGGACACAATTACGGTCTTTCTGTTTGCATAGGCTCGTGGTTCACCTTCGTTACGCCATTGCTTTCGTATTGATGCCATTATGATCTCACGATATACGGCATACATTCTCACATCTGACTACCGACTCAAGCCTTCGTTGTTCATTCGACCTAGGGCATTTCATAAATATTTCGCTCGAAGACTTGTAAACGGGAGTATGGGGAAGAATCCAGACAAAAGCTTGTCACAGATAGTCGTATCGGTACATACAGTATACCTACGATAAACAGAAGCCATACCCCCAAAAGAAAAGTTCAACTGTTTCTAAATAAACTACTGGATACGACTTAGAAAATGCAAAGTTACTGAACACCCACCTCTGGATATTCTAGAATCAGTTTGTGTTTGAGAGAAAGGAATAATGGCAATTGAATTGTGAAATTTCCTGTTCAACTGCATTCTACACTTCTCAGATATTCAAAGATGGGTGAGTGCATTTCGAATTCGACTCCGTTATTGTGTGTCCTGTTTCTCGTTTTGGGTTAGAGCATTATCATGTGCTTCCAGTGCGTTACATACTCCTAATGCTATTCCGATGTGGAACAAAATGACCCTCACCTCTGGTACAGACCTTGCTATTTTGTCCCGATTTCACACAAGCATGGTATATGGCTTTGCGAAAAGCACACGTGAAACTCAAATGTAACTCCCAATATGAGAAAATATCGTTTAAAACGACAGGATACAGCTTTTCACACTGTTGGGCTTTCGGGCTTGAATGTAGGTAGCGATCATGACTGGTTGGATAGGCTTTTTGAATTACCTGATAATGCAAAATAAATTGAACTATTAGGCTGCTGTCATGCTGCAGATTGCAATTACCTCATCTCCGAAGTGCTATCCTCTTATCTGAAAACAGAATCCGGTCGAACCAGTACTAAAACGTAGAGTATATACTTGAATCAAATAAATGAGTCAAGTATATGGTTTATGTGTGAGGGAATGTAGAGGGCCCATTATGTATTATGGGTTCACAATCGATCACACATTAGATACAAGCTACCATTTGTCATCAAGAAGTTAGCAGCATCAGATCAACATTGCTTACAACAGAGTCAGTTCGTAGTTGTAAATTAGGCAGTGGTCAATCAACTTGACTTAAACAAGATGAACAATTTTGCAAAGTAATAAGACAAATCGAAACAAACGAAAAGAAATGAAACAGAATGAATACAAGCTATAAATCTGTATCAATTTGTATTCTCAAGTCGAACGAATACACTTTGGTAGAACATTAAGTTTATGACGAAC